ACATTTAGGACTGTGTTTTGGTTGTCATTGGATACAGCAAAGAACAAGGGAACACATATAGCCATTATCATTTTCTGTAGAATATTTAATTTTAGATTGTAATCAAGTACTCCTTTTGTCTGAAATAACAAATGATCAATATTATTGAGAAACAGATCAGGTAATAGTACCCCTTGAGCCTTGACAAGTGAATCAAATCAACCCCAAAGGTCTATACATACCGGTAATAGTTCAATGACAGAATACACACTCTGTGTGTGTCTCTCTCTCTGTCTGTAATTTAGTGTATTCATTACAAACTCCATCTTCCCGAGGCAAGAGAGTTAACTGACTTTAAAAGTCCAGTTTCCACCCTTGCCGAACTAGGCTGGTATTACGGAGTTACATTTTGGCTGGGCTAACGAGTCTATGCATAGTCCAATCAAAATCGCGCACCGAAATCGAAATCCGGTTCGTAAACTATCATGCAGATTTCGGTCGATTGCAGGATTTGCAAAACATGTGCACCGCCAACTCGTTGTCAGCAGATATTTTTCAAATCTTTTCATGTTTTTAATCAAGGTGCTCATGTGATTTGATGCATTTCGCAATGTAAGACCCGTTTTATCACAATATAGATCTAAATTATCGATCAGATCGTCCTGACTGGGCGCCACCATTTTGTGTGAAGCAAACACAAGGGATACGAGAGGTGGAATCTGATTGGTCAATAGGAGAGGCTTAGGCGGGACATAACTGGTAATAGCCACTGGTGGCACTACGATCTAGCCCAGGAATTCCAGCCTAGTTTGGCAAGGGTGGGAACTGGACTTTAAAAGTCAGTTAACTCTTGCCTCGGGAAGATGTACAAACTCACAAAAGAATAAGAACTTTGGTCAATGTGAACTGGGCCTTTTCATCATTAGCTTTCCTGAACTTTTCCATTTCGTGTGGGCAAACTGATCTAAATATATGAACAGAAATGAAAATATGCTCTGTATATCCCAACTGGTCTGTAATTGCAGCTTTCCAAGACAACAACAGCAGTGAACAGCATGTAGAGTGTACACAGAAGACATCATGAACAGGTCAGATCTATTATGAAGACCATAGTTAATTCCTAATAGTGATAAGTGTCAGCTTAATGAACGAGGAAAGCCCCAAGTGATGCAGGTCTCAGACGTTTACCACTTCTGTGAAGCCCACGAGCACGGTTATGGTGCTGACAAACCTAGAAACATATTCGGGGCCAACCGGGATTCGGTCCCACAATCATAGGTTTCTGGCGTGCCCAAGGGAAGCAACTCTGCACAGCGAATCACGCCACATTAGACGACTTGGCCACCCGTGTCCCCTGATTACTGAATGAAGAAGTACCATTTGCACAACTCTATATGATTTGGGCCCCAGTACGTATTGCAATATATAGCGCAGCTCTCTGTATTGCGATATACTTTAATATGATTTATGTGCTATGATTTATGTGCTATTACGCCATACCTACTATATAGCGACATGAGTTGATACCTTGGTTTAAATACCGGTAAGTATACACTTGATAGTTTGACCAGACTTACTCCTTGTGCTATTTACAAGTACTTATTTACACCACATGGTATTATAGGCTGTAGTACCTTCATGAATCATGATTATAATTTATAGTTAAAGATAAACCACTAGGTATTATCGGCTGTAGTACCTTCATGAATCATGATTATAGTTAAAAGATAAACCATGTGGTATTATAGGCTGCAGTACCTTCATGAATCATGATTATAATTTATAGTTAAAGATAAACCACTAGGTATTATCGGCTGTAGTACCTTCATGAATCAGGATTATAGTTAAAGATAAACCACGTGGTATTATCCGCTGTAGTACCTTCATGAATCAGGATTATAGTTAAAGATAAACCACGTGGTATTATAGGCTGTAGTACCTTCATGAATCAGGATTATAGTTAAAGATAAACCACGTGGTATTATAGGCTGTAGTACCTTCATGAATCATGATTATAGTTAAAGATAAACCATGTGGTATTATAGGCTGTAGTACCTTCATGAATCATGATTATAGTTCAAGATAAACCACGTGGTATTATCGGCTGTAGTAACTTCATGAATCAGGATTATAGTTAAAGATAAACCATGTGGTATTATCGGCTGCAGTACCTTCATGAATCAGGATTATAGTTAAAGATAAACCACGTGGTATTATCCGCTGTAGTACCTTCATGAATCAGGATTATAGTTAAAGATAAACCACGTGGTATTATAGGCTGTAGTACCTTCATGAATCATGATTATAGTTAAAGATAAACCATGTGGTATTATAGGCTGTAGTACCTTCATGAATCATGATTATAGTTAAAGATAAACCACGTGGTATTATAGGCTGTAGTACCTTCATGAATCATGATTATAGTTAAAGATAAACCATGTGGTATTATAGGCTGTAGTACCCTCATGAATCATGATTATAGTTCAAGATAAACCACGTGGTATTATCGGCTGTAGTACCTTCATGAATCTTGATTATAGTTAACGATAAACCATGTGGTATTATAGGCTGTAGTATCTTCATGAATCAGGATTATAGTTAAAGATAAACCACGTGGTATTATAGGCTGTAATACCTTCATGAATCAGGATTATAGTTAAAGATAAACCACGTGGTATTATAGGCTGTATTACCTTCATGAATCATGATTATAGTTAAAGATAAAGCACTTGAGTGAAGAAACTCCTCAAATTAGCATGCTCCTAAGGTTGTAGAACTACATCACATTCATACAGGTACATGCAAAACATCATGTAATATGCCGGCGATTAATAAATATTTCATTGCCTTGAATATTATCAATAAATTAGTACAAACTTTGCCTCTATGTACACCTGGCTATATAAGGAAATGTGATTATGTATTCTTATTCTTATGTCAACATCAATGATACAGAAAGTCATATCTACTGGTACACGTATCACGATACACATGATACAGTGATACAATTTCAGGTCATGTACATCAGAGCCAATCTTTAAACCAGCATAACAAGGTCACAATGTGCATAGATAAAATGCATTAGGATTTCTAGCTCACTTAAAGGGGCACTGATCTAACGCAATTCCCCGGACTGGTTGTTGCCTTTGTTATTGTTTTTCCCCCCGTGAGTACCGGGATGATACGCAACGCAGCTGAGCGTGACCAGAGACTGGGCTACCGTCTGCAAAGACAGCTAAATAAACTTGGAGGCTGGAGGCTATATTTGTTTTACGTATTTTTGCATAAACACTGATTGGTTAACTGTTATCTATAAAGATTTCGACAAAGGGCGCATGTTAATTAATTTCTTCAGCCTAAACAAGCAGACAAAAAGAACAGCGGAGCTCATCGGATGTCGTCATTTGGAAATACCCCAGATGGTTATAGTTTTATTTCGGCTTGCGTCGATAATACGATTACTACTCCCTTGTTGTCATCCACGATTTCTCGTATAACCCTACACTTGTGTATTTGTCGTCATTACTTGATGCTCAGTTAATGAATTTATTACAGGTACAATTAGTGGCAGCACCACTTAGATTACCTGACAAAGGTTCCCATTTGGCATTTATTGTGTCTGGGGTATTTATTCAATCTAAATGCAGGTTTGAAGTGAGGTGAAATGTGTGTTATGTAATATGCACGTGGCAGCCCAGCAAGAGATGAATGATCAGTTGATTTATTTTTTTTGTAAATCAACGGAACGTTCCTAGTCATCAAAGGATTAACAGAAAATACGTTGATTGATTAATCACTGTTGATTTGCACAGTGGATTTGTCAAGATTGAGTGTTTACATGTCTAGGTTTACTAAAACAAAGGGAATACACTCATACCATGGCGTGAAGTGCCGATGTAAAAACAACATACTTTGTTCAAAGGGTTAACTTATAATACGTTGATTGATTGATCATTGTTATTTATCACTCAATGGATTTTTTAGGAACCGTGAACGTTATGAAAATAGTTGTCACGTGGGCTTTCTCAGCCGACCCTTGAGACTTGACACCTATGTGAAACACCTGAAACAATCCAAGTGATCAGTTGAGAAACGAACGCGGGTTATGATATCCCGAAACGATATATATCTTTCAAAATATTTGATTGTTACAGAGACACGTGACATCGAATAAGTTTCTTTGTACAGCTGCAGACGAGTGGGATATTGTTCCTTTGTGTGGATATTCAAGGATACATTCCTCGAACAAGGAAGCTGCCTAAAATTTATACACATAAATTTGGTAGGTTGCAATTATGGTTTTGCATTTTGTTTTCCTTCATTTGAACCGATTCGTTCTTGTTTCTCTACGTCTTGGTTGGGAACTTCTTCAATGCGCGATAGACGTTGTTTTCATGGCTCTTTTCCTTTGTAAGCGTGTATATATTACCGTCAACTTGTAAAATGTGATTCTCTCAGGCAATTATAAAATGTGTAAATATTTCAGTCATTTTGACTAAAAAATCTGTCCAGATTGATAAATATGATCAAAAGGGCCTACAAACATCACAACAGATTATTATGTAGGATTAGAAGCCAAACAACATAGAAATGTACTTTTCAACGTAACATTTTCAGTCTCTTGGTGATGACATTAAACATCAAAATGTTTGGAATTCGTTATCATAATAATACAGATGGAAATGTTTTTCAGTCACTTTGTAAAATTACTGAATATTTAGACATTTAATAAATTTGAAAATGTTACACATTTTGACAGTAAAAAAATATACACACTATAAAAAATGCAATGCTCGGGTGAAATATTTACTTTGTGTTGCAAGTCAAAATAGTGTAAACGAAAATCGCAAAATTACAAAGCAAATGACTTGCTATCAAAACTTCGTCACCATTACCGATGCTACCCACAAAGATACCTACATTACCTTATTATCTCGAAAACTGTATTTCATTTTGTTGATCAATGTGACCATACGCCCTTATTACTACCCATAAAAGTGACTAATGCGCTTATGAATTGCGCAGCAGAGGTCGCGAACTAGTCTAGATTTCTGCTATACATCCGGGTACTCACTGGGGAAAAACAATAACAAAGGCAACAACCAGTCCCGGGGAATTGCGTTAGATCAGTGCCCCTTTAACAGTGGCTGCAAAACAGAATGCTTAATAAGATCAGGCCCATTTCTTTTGTTGTTTTACAGACAAGCCAGTTATCCTAGATTTGACTAAAAAACAAAAATAAAACTTGTGATTGAAACATGTTACATGTGGTGTCTCCTTACATTGCCTTAGGCACGAGACTTTGTTCAAAACATGCCTCACTTCACCCAGCAGTGAATGGGTACCCGGTAGGATGAGATGGTAACTGTTAACCTTCTAGTGCCTCATAAGGCAGCTTGGGTTGTATACTCCCCAGGTAGCTGATCCACTGACCGGAGTAATAATAAAATATAACTTTGTGCATGGAATCTACAAATGGAATTACTATTATTTCATTATTACAGATAAATCTTCCTACAGTTTGAAACCAGACTATACCGTTATTGTAAATATAATTTTTCTATCTCTGTTAGCATGGTTAAAGCTTTCTCAAGTGCTTACAGAAATTATTAACCTCAAATCGATCCCAACAATATTTTTCTATTAATCACCTGTCAAGGAAAAGGTCTATAAAACAAAAATGACGTTGGTCTGGCCCAGACATTTCCTGGTATTGAAAAACTGCACAATATGGACAATTTGGGATTGGATATTCTATCATCAGTCAAGCATTGCCCTGCCTAGTGAATCATTCCAAATCTAGACATGATACAATACTGTAAATCATGAAATAAATAATTATGAAATAAAATAAATAAAATCACTAAATAATTAATGTGAGTGTCGACCCCTGGCCTTAAATGCATCATGAAATTAACATGAGGACCCCTGCTTGAAATGAGATAGGTAGGTCACTAGCGAAGATAAGGCATTACACTTGACACGGAATTATCTACATCTAACACTCAATTACATTGTTTAGTGTGAGCATTGTTATATATGTCACTGTTTCCGTGTGTGTAGAGAATCTAACAGGACAATATACTACTTCAAAATGTCCCGATAAAAATGCCTTACTTTATTAATGCAAGCTAGGGACACTCACTTTCTGCATTAATTTAATGTTTGCATAAATTTCATGATTTACAGTACTTAAACATACATTTACAAGTTAGCACAACCAAATCATGCATGAGTTTACTGCAGTACCCAGGGAATAGAAGGACACTATGACATGAAACCCTCTCCCTGTTCACGGAGATAAGCAGCTTTCAAGTCTTTCATGTTCTGTTTCAACATTGCAACTTCATCCCACCTTTGAGCTTTCGTTGCCTGTTGAATATATCCATGAATAATCTTTATTTGTGTCACCATCGGATCGTCATCGTTGTCCACATTGGGCACAACTTCTGTCGGCTTCCAGCCCCTCCCAACACTATCCTGTGAATCTGAACGTTTATGTCCGAGCTGTTTCACACCCTCGGTCGGAGATTTCACCCCGGGCTCGTCTTGTCGTTTCTCTTTCTCTTGAGCATCCATGGCTGCTTGTCGCTCAGCTGCAATTTTACGCTGAATCTCTTCTTTCCTCCTTCCTTGCAATATCTTATACTCTTCTTCTGTTGGGAGGACCTGTAGACCCAGCAGGTTCTCGTGCATGAAGTTACTGGCATAGACTCGTATTGCTTTTTGAAGGTAAAGCTGTCTGGGGTTGGGCTGGGGGTCATCGTTCAGGTTCAGAACCAGAATTTTCTTGCTGAAAAAACGTATCACATGACAATAATTGAGAGTACAAATACATTAGAAAACAATATGCACCACTTAGGCAAATCATACAGTCATCCATACTTACTGGAAGATGGTTATATTTTAATAATTCTGTTCTTCATGAAATTCAAATTGGGTCAGGTCTTTACCTCAAAAGACACTTCATATCTAACGAAACAATAAACTCATTGCGATATGTCTCACGATAATGTATAATTCTAAATTATGAATTCGGAATTTGAAACATCAAAGTATGAATTGCAGTTCATGAACGGAACAAAACGAGATGCTGGAACAACATAATGTTTACTCAATCAATAAATATGCACAGAGGCACGGAATGGGGCAGTGATGACTTGGCATTACACCACTACCACAGTGAGACTAATCTTCAAAAAAAAAAAAATCAACCTTTAACGTTATACCAGTAATACGGCCCACCCTCACAACAAACCCATTTTGGGGGTTATTGATTTTATCAATATTTCCATCATATTCTTAATAGAATTAGAATAATTGTCATGACTATCTACATTCAAATATTGTAACTCTCAGGCTTGAACGCTACCTGAGTTGATCCACCACTTCATATTGCCGGGTCAACTTTGTCCGTAGGATTTGAGCTTGTCTGTAGTTGTATACAGTCTCTCCAGTGCTGGAATACGAGTGAGTGAGTGAGTGAGTTGGGTTTGACACAGCTTTGAACAGTATTTCAGTTATATCATGGTGTGTCAGCTTAATGTTGGAAAAATTCCTGAAGGGACGTAGTTCTTGGATATGTACCACTTCGCTGAAATCTATGGCACGGTATGGTGCTGACAACAATCAAGGAAGGAAATCTTATATTTTTCCATGTGATCATAGGATCCTGGCATGCTTAAGGGGCACAACTCTGCACAGTGAACTGCAATGCTTTAGACAACCCTTCTGGAATAGGAATACATAGGCCCATACACAGTCATACAGAACCATCATTGTGAATCAAGTGTTCCATGTTATTATTATAATATACATGGACCCATTCCACACCAGAGCCTCATTTTAAGCTTTGATTTTGAATGTCATAATGCTAATAATAGCCATCCAATCAAATTATATGTACTCACATGAGCAAGAGAACTCCTGTGTTATGTTAGTGATAAGAAAGAAGGAGCTGGTGATGTCACTTCCGAAATAAAGCTACGTATCTTAACAAAACAAAACTGTTTGTTGTTTAACGCCTGCACTCAGCAATAGTCCAGCTATATGACGGCAGTCTGTAAATAATCAAACCTGGACCAGACAATCCAGTGATTGATATCATAAGCATTGATCCACACAGTTCGGATAGATGACATGCCTCAACCAAGTCAGCGAACCTGACCACCCAAGTATAGTCGCCTTTTATGGCAAGCATGGGTTGCTGAAGACATTTTTCAACAGGCATGAAATACTCATATCCCCTGCCAATATGACATGTCCGGTCTAAACCAAAGCCATTGCCATGGAAACTCGAAAAATAAATGTTTAAAAAATCACAAACTATCAAAAGCCACCAGTCCACCACTTGACCTATCTATGCGCCAAATTTGGTTAAGATATCCCTCATGGTTTTTTAAACGAAATGTGATGGACGGACGGAAGGAAGGAAGGACGGACAGCACCCATTCCCATATTCCCCTTCCACTTTGTGGCGGGGGATAATAATACCGTATTCGACGTAATAAGCGCCCAGGGCGCTCTCAAATTTAGAAATAGGGGGCTCTTATTAGAATATTATTTTGTCGGAAAAAACAGTTGAAAGATAAATGTCGTGGTTTATGCTGACAGCCTGAAATGTTTATATAGGAGAGATATATTTTTCCAAAATTTAATTGCCCATACTTATGGGTGCATATAACACACGAGTGTGTATTATAAGCGAATAAATAAGTATTGTGTACATTGATCAATCGGAGAGGGTGCTAATTGGGATTGTTTACGAGCAAATATATTAGCAAATATCGCCATGGGCCCTTATTAGAGCGGGGTGCTTATTACGTCGAATACGGTAGGTTAATATCTAGCCCTGATACCGGTAGTGACAACAGACACGCGTTTACCTGAGAGAGTCTACCATTGGTAGGTATCTTGTCAGTAGCTCCTCAGCCTCCTGAATGCATGTCTTCATTTTCTGATAAAAACAAAGTTCCATAACATTTTCAAACCTTTTTGCCTTACAAATATTAAAATAAAATATGCATGTGTAACATAACAAAGTACCCTTAAATGTTCTACTCTTGGAATATATTATCTATCGGAAATATTATTGTCTGGGTGTAAACTGTATTATGTGCATGTAGAAAAGGTAATGGTGACGTTAAAACAGTAAAATATAAAAAAACATACTGATTAAATGTTACAAAATATGAACACTCAACATCTTTGGGATGGTATCCATTGTAACTTCTATCTAGTATTGTTTGTTTCTTGTTTAACACAGCACTCAACAATATTCAATTTGTATGGCCGCTGCCTGGAAATAATCGAGTCTTGACCAGACAATCCAGTGATTGACATGAGCATCAAGCTACGCAATTGGACGGCATGCATCAACCAAGTCAGCGAACATGACCACCTGATCCCATTCGTCGCCTCTTACGACAAGCATTGGTTGCTGAAGACCAATTCTAACATGGACCTACACGGGGGATCTATCTAGTAATTCATGAAACCCATACATCATATAGCTGCATAAGTGGTGTCTTAGTGTTGCGCTGTTCCGTCATCTGGTCTCGTCTCTCCAGGAGACGCCTACAACTGTCACACACTCGCATGTGCCTCTCCCCCTCTGGACCCATCAGAGAGTTGAGGCTGCTGTTACTGCCCGTCCGACGCAGGAAACCTCGACCTTGGAAGCTGAACGCAGGGTTCACCAGCTTCTCTGTGAAAGTAACGGCAACATTCTGAAGACGTGGCATTTTATACTTTTAGGTTCAACATTCAGACCATAAAATAAAGTAGTTTCAATGTATTTCTAGTCAATGGCTCCATCTACCATGAATAAGAAAAATAAACAGCTACTACTTAAAAGCCTAACAAAAAGTATCTCAACGTTTTAGATAATAATTAAAACAATGAATAATCTCTCGGCACTGCAAACCCCTTACAAAGAGAATGCAGCAGTGTCTTATTTTTCTGTACAAATAATGCACTTTAAATAGAATTCACACTTACTTTTCCCCATTAAACCCACACAACCTTGTGCCAAATGAAACAAAAATATTGAACAGCACAAATTTATTTTAATTTTAAACTGAGTATATTGTTCAGCTAAAACATCCTAAGAACATCCTATGGTAAGCCAGTGGCGTATTCTGTCTAGCAGTAAGCCACCTTGTCTGTCTCCCAGGGAGTTACCCTAGTATTACCCCTGCTTCACTACTTCAGTGGTGGAAATCAATGCTAGCTTGTGGCTTTTAACTTTTTCCAAGGGCTAGAGAAACGTTGACAGCCACTAGCCATTAGGGCTGTAACGATTCACCGATACCTATGATATCATCCTTACTTAGATGACAGTGGCCTGTAAATAATCAAGTCTGGGCCTGGTGAAGCCATTGGTTGATAGCTTGAGCAAGGATCCACACCCATTGTGACAATGTACATTTTAGTTAGCTCCACACCCATTGTGACAATGTACATTTTAGTTAGCTCCACACCCATTGTGACAATGTACATTTTAGTTAGCTCCACACCCATTGTGACAATGTACATTTTAGTTAGCTCCACACCCATTGTGACAATGTACATGTTAGTTAGCTCCACACCCATTGTGACAATGTACATTTTAGTTAGCTCCACACCCATTGTGACAATGTACATTTTAGTTAGCTCCACACCCATTGTGACAATGTACATGTTAGTTAGCTCCACACCCATTGTGACAATGTACATTTTAGTTAGTTACATCTTACAGAATTTAGACAGCACTTGTCATAACTAAAATAACTTTAACATTAGACCACTTTCCCAGTGCTAGAAACTAACTTTCTTTTGTCCTTATAATGATAAGATATAGCAAATTCCTCAAAAATGGCAAATTTCTACTAGTCCTTATGATACCTTAACTATAGGGCAGTTTCTAACACTAGCAGATGTTGCTGATGCTTCAAAATGCTAGCTTTAGACAATGCTTGAGATTTTTTTATAGATTCTTTCTCCATGTAATTTATGACATTATTGGCAAATTCTTGAGCCTGAGAATGTATGATTTGGCCATGCCTGCCTAGCTTTGACATATTTTGTTTTTAACTTTATCAAACAACTTTTAAAGAATCCTGGTATTGACTTGTCACGCCGACCTCTTAATAGTCTTATGAGATACCCATGTGTCAATGGGAGCGTAGTTAATTTCATCGTCATGACCTGCACGTGCACAATATGGGTACACCCTCTCTACCTGTAACAAACCAAATGTGTTTGCCCCAATTCTGTGCACCACGTACTTGTCTTAAACTCATTTTGTGAGTCAGTTCATCATATCCTTGATTACCAGTAGTATGATTTATACAACTGTTTCCCAAGCTAAGGCCATTTGTTAAATACATACGAGCATATGAGAACGTGAGGAACTGAGAGCACTGTTCACACATGATCCCTCCACAGATGCGGCAGTGATGGCGGCGTCGCCGCAGGGAGAAGGACCTCTCACAGCAGAGGCAGGCTGGAACCTCACTATCCGGGATCCAAGGTACCACGGACTTCTCGAAAGCTGCAATAGAAATCAGTTGTCACATTCTACATGCTGAAATAAAGTAACTTCTTTCACATGTTAAAATATATTACAAAGATATGATACAGGCCCTTTTTAGATTTGCAAAATTTAAGAAATGAGGTAAACCATAACAAATCTAAATGAGTGTGTGAGTGAGTTTTGTTTTACGCCACTTTTAGCAATATTTCAGCAATATCATGGCGGGGGACACCAGAAATGGGCTTCATACATTGTACCCATGTTGGGAATCGAACCCGGGTCTTCTGCCTGACGAGCAAACGCTTTAACCATTAGGCTACCCCACCGACCTCTAATCCAAATGAAATATATCAAATATGTTTGTATGACTGAAAATTTGGCTTTGTGCTTTTCAACTGTTGCACATTTGGCATTTATAACAACACCAAATGCATAGGTAATACTAAAATCTGTCTAAAAGGACGATTTTTTAGGTCCTCAGGAAAGCATTGTTTTTCCAATAATGAATTTTTAACATGAGCAAGTCATTGACCCAAGCTGATTTTGGTAGAAGATGTACATCTTTGATCACTGACTTGCTCATACTTCTCGTAAAGTTCGAAAAATTCACCTTTTACACTAATTTTAGAACATACATATGAATTTGGTCATGTCAGAAGTCCAAAACAAGCAACTTTAATATTGGACATAAATAGGCCCTTAATCCTACTCTTGTATTATTCAGGGTGGGGGGGTAGCCTAGTGGTTAAAGCCTTCGCTTGTCAGGCCGAAGACCTGGGTTCGATTCCCGAAATGGGTACATTGTGTGAAGCCCATTTCTGGAGTCCTCCGCCGTGATATTGCTGGAATATTGCTAAAAGCAGCGTAAAACCAGACTCACTCACTCTTGTATTTTTCAATCAACAAACAGGACTAGAACCGGGTAATGATACAAAGAAGGATTGATATGACAAAATAAATAGATCGGGACAAGTACCACTAATAACAAGAAGACACTGCTTCAAAATTGGTTCTCAAAATACCTGTCTTTGTTCTTAGTGATTGTTTGATACTAAATGACCACCATCTCATCATTGATGACAAAATATGATCTCCCTCACTGAACCATCAGGTACAGCCGTCATCAGCGGCAAACAGATTAATGTCCTCCACCCTGTCAAAATGTCTTCCATACAACAGAGTTAGTAACAAACGTGGTGTCATGCCTCAAACAGAGTCAGCAAGTGAATGTTGTTGGCATTAACCAAGCAAAACCACCATGATTAAATTCTAAATTATCAAGTGTATCATATCTCCATTCTGTTATATGATGTATAGCTTGGACCGATAGTGAGTGAGCGAGCGAGGGGGCAGGTGGGCGGGCTGGGGTGGGTGCGAGCGTGCGAGTGAATGAGCAGTCTTCGGCACGAAGAGCGAATGTTTTAACCCCTGTCAAAGTACTCAAGAAAGCATAAAAGATAAGAAATCATTTATAACAGTCCAGTGATTATCTTAAATACATCATGTGCATGCTAGTATGACGTTGAGATTTCGAACATACATGTAGATCCATAATGAACTCTGAACATTCTGAAGAGGCAATAGGACTGGCTATGGAGCAAGGGCAAATTCTGTGCTAGGTTAGTGATAAGAGAGATGGCGCTAGTGATGTAACTAAGGTAAATGGGTCTAGGATATTGATCACAGCAGAATGGAGATATACACTGGATAATCGAGTATGCACGTAAATAATGGTCCAGGTCAAGCGAACCAGTGGTTGGTACTATCATAGCTTCGGCAATGATCCACACTGTTGGGGGTCAACGACAAACAAACAACTAGGTCACAGAAAGGGACCATGCCATCTTCACTTCAGTCCATTCTTACAACAAGCATAAAACACAGGGACCTACACTAACACACAGTCCCCCCCCCCCCCCCCCCCACCAAGCAATGTATAAGGTTAAATAAAAGTAATTCTCTAAAATTAGTTTGATTGTTTGTTGTTCAATGCCGCACTCGGCAATATTCCAGTTATATGACAGCGGTTTGTAAATAATCAAGTCTGGACCAGACAATCCAATGACTAACATCATGAGCATCAATCCACACAATTGGGATCGATGACATGCATCAACCAAGTCAGCAAGCCTGACCCAATCCCTTTAGTCGCTTCTTCCGACAAGCATAGTCGCCTTTTACGGAAAGCCTAGGTTGCTGAAGACCTATTCCACCACGGATCTTCACGGGTCAATTCTCTAGGAGTATCAAGAAACCCTCAAGTCTCTTAAAAATTTCAGGAGCTGAGAAAGGGATGAGAATGGAATTAAGGGTGAGGTTGGGGTGAGGGCGGGTTGGGGGCGTGCGTGTAAGTGTGGGATGGTGTTGGTGGTGTTGGTGTTAGCGGTGTTGGTGTTGGTGTTGGTGTTGGTGGTGTTGGTGTTGGTGGTGTTAGCGGTGTTGGTGTTGGTGTTGGTGTTGGTGTTAGCGGTGTTGGTGTGGGTGGTGTTGGTGTTGATGTTTTTTATTTAATACATGCTCTGGGGGCTGTAAGAGAGACTAACTGGGATCATATTTTGACCCAGAATCCTAATGGGGTTTCACCCTAAAATTAGGTCACATATACAACATGCATAATTGATTATTGAAACGAGTTTCCAGTTTAGACAACAAACATAAAAATGCATAATTTTGTAACGTAAACATCTTTTAACCCGCTTTTCAACAACGGTAACCGTAGTACATAAAACTAAACTCAAACTGTGCACAGCCATGCATAACATACAACATACCTCTTCGTTTGTGCCTATCTGTCCATCCTAAGACTAAAGAAAGGAAGAAAATATAAACCCAAGAAGTTGCAACACACATAAACTGTCCTCTCCTTGCATGCTGTTTCCAGGAGTATTTTCCATCTTCAGATTTACTATACTAGTGTGTGTAGATAGTCAGGGTCATTTAAAAGAAACATATTACTAAAATAAAATACTATACATGTATTAATAATGCAGTCATTTCTTCTTTGAACAAAATTATACCACAAACAGTTGACTTCATCATAAACCCAGGAAAGATTATTCGTTTCAACATAAGGACGTCTGCTGGTTTGATTTTGTTTCACTTTCATTACGAGGTGCATCAGATCATGTGAGCACTTTGATTAAAAACATGTAAATAGCTGTGAATCGAGCTAGCGGTGCACATGCTTTGCAAATCCTGCATTCGACCAAAATCTGCATGACAGTTTACGAACCGGATTTCAATTTTGTTGAGCGATTATTGGTCTATTCATAGACTCCTTAGTCCAGCCAAAATGTAACTTCATTATACCAGCCTAGTTTGGCAAGGGTGGAAACTGGACTTTTATAGTCAGTTATATCGCCATGATCACTTGCCTCTGGAAGATGTAATTCATAGGCTAAACTCGAATAATTAAATATACTGCATAATATACCAAACAGAAAGTTAACTAATTCACATTTTAGGACAGATCGCGTGCTGCTAACGACAAGGGGAAAGAGAGCAGTACCACAAAATTCTCTAAACTATGACATCACTGCATTGTAAAGACATAGGACCTATGTGTGACTTCATTGAGAGAAGATACCTGCACATAAGAAATTGAGGGAGACACAAAAAGACTTCTTATTATCCTTTTCATGAAATATTTGCATATTAGAAATTATCATGTTTCCTAAGCCTCATAGGTGAATGTTTATCCGTGTGTGGTTTTAACTATTGTAGTCACTTTTATGCAAAATTGTGAAGACGGCAAGTGATTTACCAACACGCTTCTACAGTAAAGTGGAAGTTAATATAATTAAACTCACACTAACCCATTTTTTGTTGCCATGAAACTTTTTAAAAAATCAAGTAGATTGTAAAAATACCTCTGTTAGAAAAAGTTAAATACTCAGAATACCCATCTCCCCGAGGCAAGGGAGTTAACTGACTGTAAAAGTCCAAGTTCCACCCTTGCCAAACTAGGCTGGAATTTCTGGGCTCGATCATAGCGCAACCAGTGGTTACAAGTTACGTCCGTTCTATGCCTCTCCATTTACATATGCTTCAAACAAAATGGTGGCGACAAGTCAGGACGATCTGACCGATAATCAAAAACTATTTTGTAATGAAAAGGGTTTTATTTCGCAAAGTGCATCCAATCACATGAGTACCTTGATTAAAAACATGAAATGATTTGGAAAACATCTGTTGATGCCAAGTTGGCGGTACACATGCTTTGCAAATCCTGCAATCGACCAAAATCTGAACAGCAGTTTACAAACCAGATGTTGATTTTGTTACGTGATTTTGATTTGGACTATGCATCGACTGGTTAGTCCAGCCAAAATGTAACTCCATAATTGCAGCAGTTTGGCAAGGCTAGTCATAGACCGATAAAATTTCAATTTGATGGATGGTTTGTTTAAGTTGTCTGACTACTGACCGATAGAAATCACATGTTTCACAATTTTCATGATAAAAAAGTAAATAGTAAGGGTTACTCCTACTTACGGTTTCGATTTTAATAACCAATGAAGTGCTCTCATAGAGTTTCGTGTCATTCTAAGAATGGACAGTACACATATTCTCCTGTTTTGGATCTGAATTTTCAGCATCATGGTGGGGGTGAAGTTTATGGCAGTATTCCTCCCAGACCCATCAGGTAGCCCGGTGTGACAAAGTTATACCAGATTTTAAAAAAATACTGATTTAACTTTGACATTTTATTGCATCCGCCATTTTTGTTTATTTGACTTATTGACATTGACTTGGGTTCAAGTCATTGACCTATGTACAGCCTTTTATGTCAAAATCACTGTCATAAGTGTGTGTATAGGTTTATGTGGCTCTTAGCATTATTCCAGCAAATGAGAGACAAATTCCACACACCAGAAATGGGTTTGACACATTGTACCCATGTAGGGATCTGGACCAAGGTAATGTGTGGTGTGATGAGTGACACTTTAACCACTTGGCTACCCCACCAGCCCGACTGATCAGGAATAGTGAGTGAGTTTTGGTTTTACGCCGCTTTTAGCAATATTCCAGCAATTTCACGGCGGGGGACACCAGAAATGGGCTTCACACATTGTACCCATGTCGGGAATCTAACCCGGATCTTCGGCGTGACAAGCGAACGCTTTAACCACTAGGCTACACGACCTCCCATAAATCATAAATAAAAAGTCATAACATGGTTACACACATGAAAACTAGGAATAATTTCAAAGGACCTTTTGTGTCTTCTGATAAACATGGGAAACTATCATGTCGATGCAAATAATAAACTTTCACTAAAAACACAATATATAAATAAACAATTCAAAGATTTCAACTGAAATTTCAGAGTGAATTAGTAGGAACCTGCTTCAAAGTGGCTGCTGAGATAGTGGAAGACAATGTGACTCCAACCTCGTGGGTTGATCCTGGAGGGAGGTAAAAATATGTTTCGTGGGCAGCTTTTTCGTGAGAATCACTTCATCCTGATCAAACAGCATGTCAAAGAGAGCACATTTTGATGTGTACGACAACCTCTCAGTTTCTGGAATACCTTTTCGTTTATTTGGCTCCAGTGGTGAATCTGGTCCAATGAGTTTGTCCAATCGGATTAGCAGCTTGTTGGTTTCTACGACGAAATGGTCGACACGAGCATCACGAACTCCTTTGAAGCAGTCAGTGTGGCTACGGGTAGCACCTGAATCAGTAATGTTTAGCTAACAATATTTAAATGACAAACGAAAATAATCAATGGAAACTGAATTAAAAGATTCCTGTTTTCCGTCAAAATCTGTTTGGAAAATGCAGTCAAATGGCACATAAATGTGTTTAACATTTGGTTTTAAGTCTTCACCCGTAAATTGTTCTAAGCAACACATTGAGACATAGCATGTGTGAGCCAACTGTAAAGAAAGACAATGAAACCACATCACTAGAAAGGAATATTAGATATTAAATGAATACAAACAGCATCACTTGGTCCTGTGACATTTCACATAATTACCTGGCAGGCCAATCTGGAGCATACCACATCATATCTAGTGGTACCATGACATGACATGCTACTCAGGGGAATCCCATGACACATATTGCCTATACAGGGATCCATGACATATCATGCTTATCTTGGGATCCCATGACATATCATGCCTATCTAGCGATCCCATGACATATCAGGACTATCTAGCGATCCCATGACATATCATGCCTATCTAGCGATCTCATGACATATTGGGCCTATCTAGCAACCCCATGACATATCAGGCCTATCTAGGGATCCCATAAAATATCTGGCCTATCTAGGGATCCCATGACATATCATGCCTATCTAGCGATCCCATGACATATCATGCCTATCTAGGGACCCCATGACATAACATGCATATTTTGGGATCCCATGACATATCGCGCCTTTCTAGCAATCCCATTACATATCACGGCTGTCTAGCGATCCCAATACATATCACACCTACCTAGGGATCCCATGACATATCATGCCTATCTAGGGATCCCATGACATAACATGCATATTTTAGGATCCCATGACATATCACGCCTTTCCAGCAATCCCATGACATATCATGCTTATCTTGGGATCCCATGACATATCAGGCCTATCTAGGGATCCCATGACATATCAGGCCTATCTAGGGACCCCATGACATATCAGGCCATCTAGGGATCCCATGACATATCACACCTATCTAGGATCCCATGACATATCATGCTTATCTTGGGATCCCATGACATATCAGGTCTATCTAGGGATCCCATGACATATCATGCTTATCTTGGGATCCCATGATATATCACACCTATCTAGGGATCCTGTGACATATCATGCCTATCTAGGGATCCCATGACATAACATGCATATTTTGGGATCCCATGACATATCGCGCCTTTCTAGCAATCCCATTACATATCACGGCTGTCTAGCGATCCCAATACATATCACACCTATCTAGGGATCCCATGACATATGCCTATCTAGGGATCCCATGACATAACATGCATATTTTGGGATCCCATGACATATCACGCCTTTCTAGCAATCCCATTACATATCACGGCTGTCTAGCGATCCCATGACATATAATGCCTATCTAGCGATCCCATGACACATCATGCCTATATGATATAACAGGATATAATGACAGTACCTATGCCTCACATGTTATGTCAAGCCCAGTTTGGCGTACTGTATGAGGCCACATTGGTGAGACAAAAATGTCACTTTTTGTACCACATTTTGCTTTTGAACTGGTCCTGCAAATGCAGGTCATCTGTTGACAACTTCACTGACCTGGGTCCTGGGGCTCCCACCATGAAACATCTGACCCAGCTGGGTAGAGAGACAAATAAGAGTTGCCCCCACTTTGACTGTCACCCGTGCTGGAATAACCATGTTCCTTTTCTCCTAGAATCTTTTTCTTAGCCTTGTCAAAGAATCCTTCAACAGAGAAATAGACACGCAAATTTAGTCATTACTTTGCCTAACAACAGATGCAGTTTTTTACTTTCTACAGCCTGAACCAGTTTAGTTTCTTGTCAAGCAAGTGGGGGAAATAAAGATACATAGAGAAATGATGCTTGGGTCTACCTGACATAAATTTCTGAAGAAGAAAAAAACTTGTAAAAGTAAGGCCTTAGAAAAATACAGATAAAATAGTTGTTTACAAAAAGGACACTCGTCAATCAAACACAGTATCTATTATCATTGCTCCAAATAAAGGGGTACTAACATCAGAGCTCCTGTATTGTCATCCATTATTTCGAACACAGATTACTTTTGGGACATTTTACTTTTTATGTGGGGTTGGCTAATCTGTAAAACGAAGAAAATATATTCATCGGACTCAACATATCAAATGAAAAATTAGAATAATTGATAACATTTTGCAAAAGAAACCATGGTCAAACAGTAATGAGGCATTAGTGAAAATTTATATGTCGCAGTTGTCAGTGGCAGTAAAGACATATAGATAGACGTCTTTGGTGGCAGCAAGTGACTGAAGTGTTGGTAAAATGTTGAGTGTGGTCGGAGTGCAGCGACTGTTTAGAGTTATCTGCCCCTGGTTGTTTACGAACATGGCAGGCTTAATCAGTCCAGAAGTTTCAGGATGGGACAATTTCTAGAAGGAAGGCTATATGAGAGCAAAAGAAGGCGATTCGAGGCCCTTTTTCACATTTGTGTACAATTTATTAATTTTCTTTACTTGAAAAATAGTGAGAAGACATTAAAATAGTACCCTTCAGCTGTTGAAATACTGCCTTATCTTCTGATGAATGAGCCTGCTCAAAGTGGTCCTGCAGTTGAGTGACTGTTCCGAAATCCTTCATGCACATGGGGCACAGGAAGCCCTCCTTGATTTCTGTTGTCTCTGACATGGCCGCCATGTTTCTGCAGGCACTGTAACACATGAGACAACGTCAAGGTGAAGATAATATTGTTTACATCATGATCAGGTGAAGGCACCTGAAGTTAAATCTTTCAAGTTTCTGAAACAGGTTCAAGATCAACAACGTATACTATGAATAAATTAGATTCCTCCAAGCAGGGATCTAACTTTTAATATTTGACAGTTAGATCCCTAAGGGCACAGATTTGTCCCCGATTGAGCATCTGTGGGACGAGGTGGATCGACGCGTTCGCAGAAGGAATCCACCGCCCCAAACACTTCCGGCGCTTCTTGATGCACTTCAGCATGAATGGCAGCACATCCAGGAGCGTGTTATTGACAACTTGATTGCATCTATGGGTCGTCAGTGTCAAGCGGTGATTGATGCACGTGGTGGGCACAACTGATACTGACATTTTCTGTACCCCTGTGACATTAACTGTATCGTGTACGTGTGTCTGTCTAGGTGACACGATTAATGTTTTGAACATTGTGTACATTGATCTTCAAACAGTGTTTCAATTATGGTTTCTGTGTCCTATTTTGAAACAATCGCATTATATTACATTTTGAAAGTCAGTGTCAAGTTTCTTTTTTTGAAGAGTATATGTTCAAGGGTCATGTATCCAAATGTTGCATAAACAAAATTATTTTTGAGCCAAGCCTCCTGAACAAGTTGACCAGTTGCATATCTTAGCAACATGCATGTTGCTCAGTCTGAGCTGTGTTTTCTGATTTATGACACTGTGCTCAGTACGAGTTAAGTAATAAATAACGGTGTATTTCTCCTGTTATCTACTGATAAGTAGCCCTTTGTGGATTCCAGAGTAGTAAAACAGGCCCCGATCAACATTTATTCGGAATTGGACAAGTCCAATTGGGAATTGTTTTAAAAGAGCTCTGGCAAAAAGTATTTAGAAACACATAAAAAACGATCTGATCATGCCAATACTAAAATTGACTGAAGCTTTATCTTTACTCAAACATGTACCATACAAGTCAGAAAGAATGTGTGCATTGTCAGAAAGAAATGAAAACAACAGTGACTTGTAGTGAAACCTGAATTCAGTGTTCCTGCTGGCTTTTGAAACTGCCAGTCCTGGTGGACTGTCAACTCCAAAAATTACCAGTCCCCCCTAATTTTTGTTAATCCCAACTTTCAATAAATAGAAAAACGTATAATTCCTTCAGCACCATGTTCAATGCAATGACGTCACCTCTGCAATAACATAGTTAGATCTACACGTCATTCACACAAAGTTCAGTCACAATTTTCTCTCTTATTTTTGAATATTTGAGACAAAGTCGCTACACATATTTAACCTTGAAGCAAGGCAAAATGTTATTTCCTTCGACTAAAAGTAGACAAGGGGAAACCCTGATGGTAACAGACAAGCTGACTTTGTTCGGAAAATTTTGAATATTGCTTATAAAATAATGTTTGTTCAACAACAAAGATTTTTATAAGGTACTATATTTGCCGGTCCACAGAGACTGGCAGTCACATGAATTACCGGTCCAAGCGTTATCATACCGGTTAAATACTGGCAATTACCCGTAAACGGGAACACTGGAATTGTTGTCATTAAACAATTGATCCTGTGACTAACCACTGGTCCGGGTAGACCTGTAGGTACCTGGGTCCTACTCAGTAGACACACGACTCGAGTTTAGGAGTCACCCGTTGCAGACTTGACATTTATGATCGGATACTTCTGCCTGCAAGAGCACTCACTCCCCCTGACATTGTGCTATCTATACAGGAAAATGATAGGCTACTGTTGCTGTTACAGAAGTGTCTCCAGTCCAGGTCAAATTGTCCTTATACCATATCATACCATATACTGTCTCTGAAATATACACTAGCGTTTTGAAGAGGTCAACATGTATTTCTGATATGTGCAAAACATATATTTGTAATCAAAGTCTACACGAAAAAACAAAAACTTCTACGATAGCAATCTGTTTTATGAATCACTCACTTCAACTGTCAAAATTGATCAATCGTTTCCCCAGAAGATAGCCTAGACCTTTTACTGTTACTATTTCAAGAATTAAATTCCAATTTATCGTATTCACCATTCATGAATACAACCATAGGTTATTCTACATGAACAACATAGTGATGAACGTGCACGATACCTGAAACAGAGTCTTCAAGTCAACATCACTGACATTCCTCCACTCATCAACTCAAGTCGTCTCATTTCTGGAGGCGTCGCCTGTAAATGTTTTGCAATTAGAAACAGGTAATTATAGTGTAATCTGTTGTATATTTTATTCAAAACTATATGCACACAGCAAATGATATATAGCGAAAGTATAAAATTAATATTTAACGCATCTTTCCTATTATATCCAATCATATTTGTAAACACATATTGTTCGATACTACCATTAGTGCCGGACCTGTTCAGAGTTCACTTCCGGTGTGCTAGCCGGGCAGAGAGTTATCATCATGGGGGGAACTGGTAGCACAAGACGGTTAGTCGTGGAAGAAATTGATGGCGATGGTGTTGTCAAGGTATGACGATACAATAGACCATATTTAACTGTTTGTATTCTAATTTGTAGCTTCGCAAGACCTCCATATCGAAGGCAGAAGGTTTGTCATTGGGGCACCTGCTGTGACCTACGGAAGGTTTTACCACACGAGAATAACCAGTCACATTGATAACACAAAAGCAGGTCTTGTTTATTTGCCATCAACATGACATTGTTGGGAGTAGTGTTACCGGGCGCACTTTTTCAGATCCAATTAGCGCTGTGGGTTCGAACGCGCTTCGCCGGCTCACGGGCTTGGCTAATTAATGCGTTAATTAGCCGACGCTCTAGCTCTACCACGGGACCACAAGCGCTATAACATGTAATCAGTGCTCGTTTAACGGGTTATTAGCACCCCTTTAACAAGCATGCGTAATTCAGAAAACAAAGAAATGCGCATGCATGTGACGTTACTGTCTGCTCTCCTATTAATTTTTTCGGCAACAATGCAGTTTACCGGGCGCAGCCCGGGCTCTACCATCCGCTCAATTACCGCGCTTTAGTGCCACCGCTGTCTCGTTATACTGTTACCGTGCCTCATGCTCTGGTGACTCTCGCTTCACAATCCAACACCCGTTTTCGGTCTTGGGGAAACTTACACATCTTTACAATCAAACACCCATTCTCGGTCTTAGGGAAACTTACACATCTTTACGATGAAACACCCGTTCTCGGTCTTAGGGAAACTTACACGTCTTTACGATCCAACACCCGTTTTCGGTCTTAGGGAAACTTACATGTCTTTACGATCCAAAACCCCTTTTCGGTCATTAGGGTTAGATTGCTTTGGGCAAGGGTGAGCCATAAATTCTTACCTTTTCAAGCGTTAATCCGGTTAATTTCCATTGGTCGGTCATGTTGACATAAACAATTTGCGGGTGTGGTTTCAAGAAAAGATGAATGGGAGAGCGGACCGTGACGTCACACGCATGCGCAATTCATTGTTTACTGAATTACGCATGCATGTCAATGGGGATTCTAATGACCCGTTAAACAAGCACTGATTACATGTGATAGCGCCTGTGGTCCAGTGGTAGAGCGTCGGCTAATTAACGCATTAATTAGCAGAGCCGGTGAGCCGGCGAAGCGCGTTCGAGCCCTCACAGCGCTAATTGGATCTGAAAAAGTGGTAAAGTGCACTACTCCCATTTTTTCTTGAAACCACATCCGCCATTGTTTATGTCAACATGACCGACCAATCGGATTAACTGGATTAACGCTTGAAAAGGTAAGGAATTATGGCTAACCCTTGCCAAAAGCAAGCTCACCCTCAGGACCGAAAAGGGGTGTTGGATCGTAAAGACGTGTATGTTTCTTAAGATCGAAAAGGGGTGTTGGATCGTACGGACATGTAAGTTTCCCTAAGACCGAAAAGGGGTGATGGATTGTAAAGACGTGTAAGTTTCCCTAAGACTGAAAACGGGTGTTGGGTCATAAAGACGTGTAAGTTTCCCTTAGACCGAAAACGGGTCTCGGATCGTAAAGAGGTGTAAGTTTCCCTAAGACCGAAAACGGGTGTTGGATCGTGAAGCGAGAGTCACCGGAGCGTGAGGCACGGTAACAGTATAGCGAGACAGCGGTAGCACTATAGTGTGGTAATTGACTGGATGGTAGAGCTCGGGCTGCGCCCGGTAAACTGCATTGTTGCCCATGCGTTGTTATGTGAAAACAATCAAGCAAATGCATATTCATGATATCTAGATAACAACAGGTAAATGTAAGTGGGAACTAGAGACAGCTGATACAACTGATATGCAGTTTCCGAAGATCGTTGCAAGCTACCAACAGCCCAAATACCACTCTATTGCGCTATCACTGTCTCACTGTTTCGTTACAGTGGCTCGCACTTGTCTTAGGGAGCGATCCAACATCCCTTTTTGATCTCAAGGAGCGATTCACCACCCCTTTTCGATCTTAGGGACCTGACACCCCTTTTCAATCCTTAGGGTTAGCCTGGTTAGGACTAGGGTTAGCCATAAATTCTTGCCTTTTCACAGTGTTTCCAATAAGCCAATGTGGATAATCCTATCATAGTAGTCTGTTTTAACATGTTTCGTTGCTTGATTTTCCCATTTTGATAGACAATGGCAGGCCTGGCTTCCAAAAGATGAATGGAGAGGGTCTGACCTCAGTAACAATATTAATGGTTTACTTGATTGTGCATGCATGTTAATGAGGTACTAATGACCCGTTAGACAAGCTCTAATTACATGTGATGGTGCTCTTGGCCCAGTGGTAGAGTGTCGGCTAATTAATGTACGAAGTAGCCAAGCTGGTTAACCGGCAAATTGAGTTCGAGCCCCGCTAATTTGATCTTAAAAAGTGCACCCGGTAAAGTGTACCGCTCCCATTATTATTTATACAATACCCATGAAGATGTGGGTTAGAATTGGTCTTTAGGTGAGGTGAAATGGGGTTTAATGTTTGTCTATCTACCAAATGTAAAGATTGCTTTCTCAATATTCTTGTAAATTATTTTCATGGGTTTAGCATAATATTCGACATGATTGCTCAATGCACATTTCACCACCCCTTTTAAGTACCAGAGTTGAACTGTTTGTTAATGATATATTAACCCCAACCATGACAACGTACATGTATCCTTGCAATATGATTTGTATCACAATACAGACGGACGATACTACTGATATCACGATACACCACATCAAATAGTAAGAACTGAACAAATCACTGAAATACAGCTCTAAAACCTCTTTCTTCATATGTTTATGTATTGTTATCTCAAAAACGTTAACAAAGAAAACCACAAGAACAAAACAGTTCAAAGTGAAGGGATGGTTAATAAATGTAACAGTCGGTGCATCCTGAGCCACCACATCCTTATGTTCTGCCATGCCTACAGGTGGCGCTATGCTACTTCCGCCATTACGGGAGGTAACTCTATCAGTTCCTGTTCTATTTATAGTGTATTACATTTCACAAACTGACGATGCAAGTATCAGTGAATTGTTGCAGCCCTAGTGTTCAACATGTTTTACTTATATCGGTTGTCTTTAATTCTGCTTCAGATATCGGAATCAGTTGTACGGAGACTGAAAGGAGAGTCTGAACCGGAGGGAGCCTCGAGCAGTCAATCCAGTAAGAGACATGAATACTTTAAATGCCAATACCATGAAGACCATGATATTACTCTGCTAACTTTACATGCCAATACCATGAATACCATGACATTACTCTGCTAACTTTGCATCACAGTTTGTCTGGTATTGTTTATTAGTATTAATCAAAACATGGTGAACATTCAATATTCTGTGCCAGATAATCTTCCTAGACTCAAAGAAATTTTACATGAGCAGGGAATGGGTACCTGATGTGAGAGGCAGATGTAAAAACCCTCTAGCGTCCGTAGGCAGCTTGGCTTGTAGACTCCCCAGGGAGTTGAGAATGAAAACTTGGTTGCACACAGATTCTGTGGTCGGGGAACAAATAAAATGGCATTTGAGCAGATACTAGTACCTAGATACCTCTAGAAATAATGATAATGATAATAATAATGATTCAGTAACATGCACGCCATGAGGATTCTAGAGCAGAATAGGTCCCCATTTTCCAGGATTGTTGTAAGATATGACTAAAAGAGGGTTGGACGGATACAGTAAGTGACCTGCTTGGTGTACGTCATCAGCAATAGAAACTAACAGTTTTTGTCCACTAGTCTTATAACATATAGCAAAACCCTGAGAAAGGGCAAATTTCTACTATTCCTTATGATACCTTGACTAATGGGCAGTATGGCCACGACTAAGTCTGGTCATTGTGTGGGTTGTTGCTGAATTGTGCCCAGACTATATTACCAGTACTTGAATACTGCTGTGATATATATAGCTTGAAGATTGCAGTCTGTGTTTTTAAGAACATTCACTCACTCACAATGTTGACAGTATATTGTCGTTAAAATTGAGATGAGGCTTACTCATCAGGGGCCCCTCATCAGCATGTTCAGTGTAGGTCAGTGTAATTAGGTCATGAGTTATGTATAGGGTAAAACACGTCCGAGGGTTGTTATGATATTTAAAACCCGCATCCCGAGGGAAAGGGTTTTAAATATCATAACAACCCGAGGAAGTGTTTTATCTATTTATAAACCGAGAAAAGAAACTTTAAACAACATTTATCAATATATTTATGTTTCGAACATAATTTCCATGAACATTAATAGGAAACGGGCGTAAAATATCTGTTGCTGGCATATGGATCTTGAAAAGGACATCCTAAAAAGCAGTGCAGCTTATCAACGCCTCTGTAGCCTTGTGGTACACTCATTGGGCTACAGATACGAAGGTTGCGTGTTCGATCCTCGGGAATATATAGAAAATATTTGTCATTTGATTTCACATTTCATTAGGTCGATTTCACATTTCATTACATGTTACAATCTGAACGAAAGTTATATTTATAAAATCCCTGGGATATTATAACACATTATATAGCAAATATGACTTGAATATCCTATAAAATCCCGGGGATATTATATATAATCCCAGGGACATTACAACGTCCCTGTTTATGAGATTTAACCCGACTGGAGAACAATAGGATGACGTCACCCTTCAAGATCCAGGGTAGAATTGGTCTTCAGCAACCCCATGCTTATCAGAAACATGATAAAAGGCAACTATGCTTGTTGTAAGAGGCGACTAACAGGACCGGGTGGTCAGGCTCACTGCCTTGGTTGATGCATGCTATCGTATCCCAATTGTGTAGATCGATGCTCATGATGTCAATCCATGGATTGTCTGGTCAAGACTCGATTATTTACAGCTGTCATATAGCTAGAACTGTGGAAACAACTTGGACTTATAATGGACAGACGGTTTATCTCACACCTCACAAAATTCTCTTTGCAACATGGTTGTTGATGATTGCTTGTTGTTAATAGTGTCAATAACTGGTTTAATAAATTACTTAAACTGAATTTGACTATTTATCAAAACAATATTCTTCTCTCTTTTTACAGAAAGTGCACCACGTCCAGAGGTATGTATTATTGACACTCACTCACTCACTCACTCACTCACTCACTCACTCACTCTATCACTCACTCACTCACTCACTCACTCACTCACTTTTGTCTCATGGGTGATGAGATGGTGGTCATTTAGATTCAAATAATTAATCAAAACACTTTAGAACAAAGACAGGTATTTTGAGAACAAATGAAGCTGTTGTATCTTCTTGTCATTAGTGGTACATGTCTCACTCTCTCACTCACTCACTCACTCACTCAAGTTGAATCAGGAATTGTGTCAATATTAAACTCCCAGACAAATGACACCAGGGTAATTATGTTGTCCAACACAATAATATAATGCTGAATGTTTTGTGACAATGTATTTAGAAGGGTAACAGTTATGAGAGACCCAACTATCACTTCAACTTTGACCGGGATTATGAGTCATCACATCCTATCCTCATGGTTCATAGTTCACCATTGTCAACTGCTTATTTTTTAAGGCCTGACATTTGTTAATTTTGAATACAGATTTACAGAATACACTTTACAAATTTAGGAATAGGATTATTGCTTGTCATGTTTGTTGTTGATACTGACATGAAATATATTTTTCAAATGAATGTAGAAATTGTCTGATGACAGTTATGTTCTCAAAAATTAACTCTTTTTATATGGAGTAAGATCATGGCAGCATGGGCTGTTTGCAAAAGCAGTTTAAATTCTGCTGATGACTTTCCATTGCGAACACCAGTTCGGGGGGCACGGGTGGCCCAGTCATCTCAGGCGCCATGATTCTCTGTGCAGAGTTGCGTCCCTTGGGCACGCCAGTTACCTATGATTGTGGGTTCGAATCCCGGTTAGCCACGATTATGTTATTAGGTTTGTCAGCACCATACCCATGCTTGTGGGTTTCACCGAAGTGGTAAACATCTGAGACCTGCATCACATCAGGCTTTCCTCCAACATTAAGCTGACATGCCGCGATATAACTGGAATACTGTTAAAAGTGGCGTTGAACCCCTACTCACTCACTCACTCACTCACTCACTCACTCACTCACTCACTCACTCACTCACTCACTCACTCTAGCACCAGTTGTCAAATGATTTCTGTTATCGCCTCCTACAATGATGTTTCCGTGCTGATGGTGGCTGACATCTGTGTTGCAGAGGGTGTTCCTGCCTCCCCCTCCCCCCCAGTATGGCCAGGCCAGGATAGACTCCAAGAAAGCAGTCCAAGAAGTAGAGGCCTTCTACCAGCAGAAGCTTAGACAGCTAGAAGAAAGAGTAAGTTTTACATCTTGTACAAATTGGGGCAAATGTGATCCACTCTTCTAAGGTGCTGGAAGAGTTGCATGCCTTAATGCCAGAAATCTATGATCACTGATGATTGTGGGTTTAAATCTCAGATTCGCCCTGTTAGAATAGGTCTTCAGCAACCCATGCTGTAAGAGGCGACGTTGCTTCCTGTATCAGGCAACTAACGGGATCGGGTGGTCAGGCTCGCTGACTTGGTTGATGCATGTCATCGTATCCCAATTGCATGGATCAATGCTGACATCAATCACTGGATTGCCTGGTCCAGACTCGATTATTTTTCAGACCGCCGTCATATCGATTGAATACTTCTGAGTGTGGCGTTAAACAACAAACAAACAAATAAAACAGACCCGCTAGGGGTTTGGCTGTCATCATATCCCAATTGCATGGATCAATGCTCATGATGTCAGTCACTGGATTGTCTGGTCTAGACTCGATTGTTTGCAGACAGCTGTCATATAGCCGGAATATTGCTGAGTGCGGCGTTAAACAACAAACAGATTCTCCCCAATCATTTTTCTAGGTTCTTGTTTCCCATGTTCATTGGTTTCTCCGAAGTGGCAAATGGCCAAGAACTGTATCACTAATGGCTTTCATCACACAATAAGGTGACATGCTGCATTAAGTCAAACTCTCTGTCTTTCGCTAATGTCTCTCAAAGTTTTTTACCATCCAGTTATGTTCGTTGCCTGGTTTGGCTGTGCAGTATTTACAGGCTTCCATGGTACACATGATAAAGCTGGATATAGATAATGTATGTAGGAATGTTGCTGATCACAGGGCACATAACAGATGAACTAAAGACAAACACTTACTTTTCTATATTTACATTTTAGTATTTCTCATACCGATTGATCGGTATAGATATTCTAATGGTGTTCTTGAAATGGATATTGCGTGTGTTATCAGTGCATCATGGTGCCATCCAATCTCATTAAAATCAGATCTTGGGGCTCGTACTGCCACACTTAGATCTGAGGACATCCAATTACAGTCACACTCAAAATGACGTTTTCACTTACTTTGACAGACAAACAAGAAGTCAACATTAGCCATTCAGAAAGCAGCTTTCTCTATCTTCACAGCATTAGTTTCAAACCGGCAACTTCCGTTCCAGGCTACTCTTTGAAAACTATTTTGACAATGTTCTTGATACAAAAGAAAATTTTGGAATGTCAATTAGATGACAGAGATTTGCATGGCAGTACTTTTCACGGGTTAGGGATATAGTCTCTTCTGTTTCAAATGTTTATCCCATTGAAGTGAGAGATAGACGATGATTTTTATGGATTGGTCGTAGAGCCCGGATAAGTGTCGTTCGGAATAACCTATGTTAACCCTTTCAAGGTTGAATGATTAGAAAACACATTCCAAGTGTCACTTTCTAAATCTGGTAAGCAGCTCTTTGATTGGCCAGACAAAAATTAGTTCTGACGTGACCCGTAATGGGATGTCCTCAGATCTTTGTTTAGCGGTAGAGAGAACTATGATCTGATTTTAATGAGATTGTAGTGCCATCCATTGTTGGATACGTCATAAGTTGTAAAACTCTTATCCTTGTATTAAGGGAGTCATATTTTTTTTAAAGGGGCTGTCAGGTAGCCTAGTGGTTAAAGCGTTCACTCGTCACGGCAAAGATTCGGGTTTAATTCCTGACATGTGTACAATGTGTGAAGCCCATTTCTGGTGTCCCCCGCCGTGATAATGCTAAAACTTTTAGCAATAATAAAAGCGGCGTGAAACCATACAGGCCATCATGGGGGATCATGGGGGATGTGTAACCTCATAAGTAATGTTGTTATCATTCATTCATGAATGGATATAAAGCTCAATCAGATTGTGAAAGGTTGTTTGTTTGACATGAGCTCACATGAATGCAATCTAGATTGGCCAGTTTTGAAACTTGGTGTCATCTAAAAGGATCCAAGATTACATTTCTAACAATCTAATTTCTTACATCTTAAATATCATTTAAACAAAGGTGTTTTTGAGTCAATGCGGTCAACATTTCTCTGAAAAGGAAACTTAGCTGATTATTGTTTTGTTTGTCTTCAGAATGCAACACTACAGAAAATAACAAATGAGCAGTTTGCCAAGGCAGTCCAGGAGGTTGAACAGAAGTTTTTGTAAGTCATCGTAAAACAATCCTGCCCTCTGTTTTTCAGTTTAATTGATGTCTTGAGGATTCTGGGGCAGGGAAGCTCTCCAGTACTGTCCCCCTGGTTTTATAATGACTGATCATGAATAAGCATAATAACATCATGCATTTTGCATGTTCAGAGAATTCATCATCAGTGTCAATTCACTGCTGGGGGAACAGAGGCACATTTGAACAAAGTCGAGAGCTACAAAATGCGTAAAATACCCCCCCAAAATATTCAAAACCCAATTACTTTCAATTTACTTGCATACAGAAACATATGCATTAAATGAGAAACTCATATGTATGAAAACAGCATGCGTGAATATCCAATGAAGCTTTTTCAGCATGCGTACAAGGGAGCAAATTTCCGAAACACAATTATGAGCTAATTTACTTTCCGAGTCAGGCCAAATCAAGATGGTACTTGTTGTTACCCCTACTATTACAATAGCTATTATATTGTCTTGATTGTTGTGATGTTTGTGTTGTTACAGGAAACAGACTGGTTCCCCAGTGTGTCAGGACCTACAGAGTCGAGTGTACAACTGTTACGTGGACAACCCTAAATACACGCTTAGATGTTCAGCTGATGTTAGAGCATTTTCATTATGTGTAGAGACAGCTAGACAGGTAGGGTATTATATGTGGTCTATACAGTCAGGTCTCATTAATCTGACACTCTTTAATCCAACAATCAGCTTTATCCGACACTAATGATGGGAACTGATTATATTTAGTGGTATTTAGACCGACCAATGAAATGACAAATAGGAAATCGACATTAGCAACTAAGAAAGAAGCTTTCTTGAGCTTTTGCAGTACCAGTTTCACACTGGCGACTTCAATTCAAGACTAACGGTATGCTTTTTTATGTATTTTTAATCAGTCATACATTCCGTAACAGTTGTTTTGTGTTAAGCTTTAAAGGTTGCATGGTTAGAAAACATATTCCACTAACAATGTAACATCAAATATGAATATTTCATTTTTAATTTTTTTAATTAAGTGTTTGTATTGTTATCTGTCATGTCGTGTCCGATTTTCGATCACAAAAGTTGATGCTACTTAATATTGTTTATCTGACATGCTCTTTAATCCGACATAATCATATGCAATCAACCATGTCTTATTAACGGGACTTGACTGTACTTTGTACTTCAGTTGATGACTGATGAATAGCTGGATACAATCCACCATTGCTGGAATATTGCTAAAAGCGGCGTAAACCCAAACTCACACATTTATTAGGGTTTTAATTACTTTTTAACACTGATGGTCCAGTGGACCTCGTTATTCATAATTCTCAGGATACGAGGGTCCCCTATCTCAGACTTTAAAGTTCTTACTTAAATAGTAATCAATAGCTAAATAGTAAAACAAACTTTAGTTTTTATTAAGAGAATCTGTGTACCCCAGGATGCAGTTAGGCATGTCAGAATCACCTGGATGATGGGTTTCACCTAGGTGTTAACACCTGCCTGTCAGGGTTTCCTCATACTCTAGGTAGACTTGCTGTGACATAACTGAAATATTGTTCAAAGTGGTTTCACCCACTCATAAAATTTATTGAGGGGCAATCAAATTGTAAAACAGCCAGTACCTAGACTGTTGTAGATTTATGGACTTGTTCTTGTCAATAATAAATGTTGCTGATGACAGTGTATAAAATGCCCATCACTCAACTGTCCTTATAACAAATACCTTGATTAATTAATGACATTGCTCTTTATGTTTTTAACAACCCTATTTTCAAATATTGATAATGAAAATTATGTTTATGTAATGTCATCAAAGGTGCCACAAATAGCTGTTACAGAAACCTATGACCGTGGGCACGAATCTCCGATACGCCCTCACTAGTTTTAGGTTAAAAAACATAATAGTCTTGGTTCTCAGGCACCACCTCCATCATCATAAAGTCTGCTGCGTGCTTCGTTTTTTATTTCCATTTTCCAATTTAAAAAAATTTAACCTAATACTTAAACACAATGCTATCCAATATAGCACTCAGTTACTTCCCTTTACATGCGCACTGCTTTACTGAACATCTTGTGTTATGGTCATGGGGGCAATAGGAGTTTGTATGCTTGTTTATGTAGGGAGCCCTTTCCCAGGTTGATGGTACACAACTGTTTATTTGGTTACATTCTAGTTTGAACAAGCACAAAAAAAACCTGTCCGCCCACACTATATTTTAAAAAGTCATTGTCTGAGAACCAATTCTTTTATTTTTTTTAAGCCTTGGTAGCCCATCATTGTTGGCATGGCTGTAGTGTTGCATCTGCCCAGGGAGCTGAAAGTCTGTGGTACAATCCCCTGGCCACGTCATACCAATAGCCATAAAAAGAGGACACTTGTTACCCTGCCTGGCACTTGGCATTAAGGGGATACCGGTAAATCAAGGACTGGTCAGCTCAGAGTCAGTATACTGTGTCTGAGTGGGGTACCCATGAGAAACTGTGGCATGGTATTTCAGAGGGCTAGCACTTTAAAACCATCGCAAGTCCAGCCTACATATAGTACAAGCAGCCACACAGACACATACAACGTTAAACCCAATAACACCTCCCCTCACATTTCTTCCACATCTTCTATTGTAATTTGAAAGTTTTTATTTTTCTCTTTTCAGAATGCCTTAGCAAGGAAGGGCTGATGCAGCAATCATGAGTGCTTATTTGTTATGGTCAGAGTGTGTGCTTTATTAAAGCCTAGATGTCGGAAGTCCTACCATTTTCGAATTCATATTGAGAACACTGCATCGATGGCTCATTCATTAGCTAACACACCATTGGAAGTATGGAGAAGTAGACCTGTGATCCTCGTATACAAGGGTGTTATGTATCATCAGAGAACTTGTGCCTGGTATATTAAAGAAAAACACTGAATGTAGTGATATCTGATACTTGTAAATATTTGTTATTCATCCTAAAAGGTTTGTGCCATTAAATCAAATATATGGGAATCAGTTGTTTGTTGTGTTTCATCACTTCTTTCATCCTGTAGGGAGGTGGGACAGAATTCGTCCTCACCAGCATATGCTGGTCACGAGAGGGGACTTAATGGATATGGTGGTAAGGCTCCGTGACTTGCGTGCCATCATGCCTCATGGATCCTTGCTCATCATATCAGTCACTGGATTGAATGGTCCAGACCATCTTCCCGAGGCAAGGGAGTTAACTGACTATACAAGTCCAGTTTCCAACCTTGCTGAACCAGGCTGCAATTTCGTGGTTCGGTCGTAGCGCCACCAGGGATAATAACGAGTCATGCCCCTTCTATGCCCCTCCTATTGACCAATCAGATTCCACCTCTCATATCACTTGCATTTGATTCTAACAAAATTGCAGCGCCCAGTCAAGACAATCTGATAGGTAATCAAGAACTTTTTTGTAATAAGATGGGTTTTACCCCGCAAATTACACCAAATCACCTGAGCACCTAGAGTAATAACATGAAAACATTTGGAGAACATCTGTCGGTGCCCATTTGACAGTACACATGCTCTGCAAATCCTGCAATCAACATGTCAGACGCCATGTTTATGAACCGTCGATTTCGTTCCACAAGTTTGATTGGACTATATATAGACTCGTTAGTCCAGCCAAAATATACCTCCATAATTTGCCTAGTTCGGCAAGGGTGGAAACTTGACTTTCACAGTCAGTCCACTCCCTTGCCTGGAGAAGATGGGTCCAGACACAACAGGCTGCCATCATACAGCTGGAATAATGTTCAGTGGGGCGTAAAACAAAATTCAACAAACATCCCTACACCCTTCTTCAAACTGGACAGATACCAGACTGAGATGTTGAACATGTTCCAGGTCAGAGTAGGGCCACTGTGTACAATACTTGTGGGGATTCCATGGCAGAATAGCGCCCCAGTAGCCTGTGCTTGTCTCTAAGCCATTGGGCAGGCTGCCTTCACTTCCGAGTGAGAATTGCTCCCCAACAACCAATGCTGGTCTTAATGGAACAGACCCGTGAAGGTCCGGGGTGGAATAGGTCTTCAGCAACCCATGCTTGCCGTAAAAGGCAACTATACTCTTCGTAAAAGACGACTAACGGGATCGGGTGGTCAGACTCGCTGACTTGGTTGATGCTGTCATTGATCATAAGTGTGTGGATCGATGCTCACAGGATTGTCCAGACTCGATTATTTACAGACCGCCGCATATAGCTGGAATATTGCCGAGTGCGGCGTAAAACAACCAACCAAGCAACCAACCAACCTTAATGGAACATGTGATCAGGCTCTTTTGTTTGGTTGATTGAGTTTCATCGTATCCTGACAGCATGAAGTGTTGTTGTCAGTATCAACCACTGGATTGTCTGGTACAGACTCGATTATTTACAGGCTGCGGTCATATACTATAGCTGGAATATTGCTGAGTTTGATGTTATACAAACAATGAAACAAACAGCCAGGTTGACTGGCCAAGACTTCATATTTATAGTTCTCCGGAACATGGCTGGCTGTAGCTGACATTCAAGCACTCACTTGCTTTAGGGGTGTATGGTTTTACACCAGCAATATCAGGTGGGATACACCAGAAATGGGCTTCACACAATCTACCAATGTAGGGGAATCACCCATGTCTTCCGGAGCCAGGTAAATCCTTATAAGCTACCCCACTTACCCTGCTTACACTGGGGATTGGGTGGTCAAAATGGCTGCCTAGTTTAAGTGGTTCTGGGTCTTCTGCCATTGGTTAAAAACCAGGAAGACCCAACCAGACCTTTGAAGAAGGCCTTATTGATTGATAGGATTTATTACAAATCAATCTGATCACTGTTTAAGCACATTTGGTGCAACGGATTCTGATAAAATGTGAAAAATATATTTTTTGAACATCATCTGAGACTCTGGGAGGTTGAAGGTGATAATGATGTGTTGTAGAACGTGAATATTCCTATAGCTACGAGCTGTGCTGGTATTAACAATCAAACACATTTGCTCTATTGGCCCAGTGGTCATGCACCTAAAATATGTTCACTGACGCCAAGGGGCCAACCTGGCAGTCACAAACTCAGGTGAGCTAAATAGATGGAAACAATCTTAATTTTAGAAGAATTCAGCTAACTTTTGTTTGTTTGTTGTTTAATCCACTTCGCAATATTCCAGATATGTGACGGAGGCCTGCAAATTAACTATTTTACCCCGGATTTTCACGGGTCGGGGTCTGTTTAAGAGGGTATTTGGGACTCAGAAGTGTGTGCGCTGGACGCCAATAACATCGGAGTAATATAAGGGCGGATCCAGCCTTTTCAAAAGTGAGGAGACCAAAATATTAAAATCCTCTCTCAGATAATGTCACTGCCAACAACATACAATATTTGGTTTTGAAAAGGGATCGGGGGATTGATTAGTGTAGGAGAGGGTTGGCACCCTCACTCACAGGCTACGGGAAGAAACAGCAGCTGGGACGCATTTCACAACGTGGTCGTATATCTTTAATATTTTAGCATAGACTTACGACAGTCATAACACTTCGATCTCTTCATGAAACGGGCCCTAGATTTCTGGCAATTTTTAGTGATTTTCGCCACGTCCATTCTGCCGAGGCCAAATGAAAAAGCTTTGATCGGTTTGACCTGAAGTCAAAGAGAGATCAACAATGCATACTACCGTAATGTTGTTAGTACTTAATTTATGATGATGTTACTTTTCAATCCCACCGTATATATGTTATTTGCCTTATCCTCTGTGTCACACTATAACAGCATCTTACATGCCTATTATTTAGCCTTAATTTAGGCCTGTATCATATTACCTGACACGCGCGCGCGCACGCACGCACGCACGCACGCACGCACGCACGCACGCACGCACGCACGCACGCACGCACACACACACACACACACACACACACACACACACACACACACACACACACACACTTGATATAACATTTCTTCATGCCCCATCACAAATACATGTAGCATTTTATTCTTGACACACACACATTTCCCTCCCTACAGTCCTTAAATAATTCAGATTCGTGATCGATTTTCACCTGACTATTTTCAGCGTTGTTTCCTCTGACGGAAAAAAAGCCTTTTAAGAGGTCAAGAGATTCAAATCTGGGTCGCCAGAATCATGATAGGGCACTGAAAAATAGATATATTGTTGTTCGGATTATTGCTTTTTTCACAACAAATTATTTGGCCATTTATACATAAACACGCTTCCAGAGCCACATCATGTGAAAAAATGTACGTTCCTACCTTGTTTTTTGTTTTTTTGTTTAAAGCAGCACTAAGCAATATTCCAGCTGGAGACGGACAGACAGACAGACAGACAGACAGACAGACAGTTTATTAGGGTCTCACCTCATGTACAGCAATACATACATAAAATATTATACATCTATTATAAAAGTACAAAAGCCATTCTAAGAGAATTGCGAGAGACCATATATAAGTGAGTGAGTGAGTATGGTTTTACGCCGCTTTTAGCAATATTCCAGCAATATCACGGCGGGGGACACCAGAAATTGGCTTCACACATTGTACCCATGTCGGGAATCGAACCCGGGTCTTCGGCGTGACGAGCGAACGCTTTAACCACTAGGCTACCCGACCGCCCCTGACCATATACAAAACAGGTTATACTTAATATATTTAAAACAGCATTCCCTGAAATAAAATAGAAATACATAATAAACTCAGGAATATAAAAAAAGCCCTCTACCCCGGGTTAAAATCAAATACTAGGTTTGGCCGAAATTAAAACTAAATGACAGTAAAACACACATCTTATCTATATCAGACAGAGAGTTGTATTGTGGTAATAGTAGCGTTGTGTCCTGCTCTAGCTTTCACCGCAGGTCTGAATATACTGCACAATGTAAAAGGACATGTGTCTCATCTTCGATGCAGTTGTCACAAAAGGGGCTTAACCGTTGTTGAAGGGACAGTCCTTCATATCGGCCCGTTTCATTACGTATTGGGGCGAGTCCCGGCGACACCACAGCGAAATTTACTTAATGCACTCCTGAAGTTTTGGGGCATGTTAACTTGAGTACAGTCAAGTCTCGTTAATCCGACATCGTACTCGCGGGCAGATGACCACGGAGTACGCTGATCATTGTGTCGGATTAACGAGACTGATTAATGAGTGATTTCAGCAATTCGTTGCAAATTAGGTGTGTCGGAGTGCGAGAATGTCGGATTAACGGGACTAAATAGCACTGAATCAATCGGTTCCCATCATTTGTGTCGGATAAAGCCGAGTGTCGGATTAACGAGTGTCGGATTAACGAGACTTGACTGTATAAGGTTCCGTGCAGTAATCTTGTTTGAAAAGTCGATAAGTTCTCAATTTTCTATCGTTTTGTCGAATGTTGTCACTCCATATTTCAAATATTTTCAGCTCATATGCATTAATAACACTATCGATCACATTCTTGGATATAAAAGTTTTGAAGGTTGTAGGAATTACCCGACCCTTGGTTTTCACAGAACTTGTAAATTCTGTAGTTCCATATCTTAAATCTTGATACTCGGTAATTGTGCAGTAGGGTGCATATTCTTCTGTTCAATCTATCAACATTCATGTTCACGAATCTTCTCCACTGACATAACACGGCTTTCCACAGGTTGCCACACATAGGGGTCCATCCCATCTCCCCCCTTACTGCATCATTAGGAGTATATTTTTCCGACTCCAAGAAAATGTCTACACGCCCTGTTTTGAATCTTTGTAAAATTCTCGAGTTCCCCAAACTGATGCACCATACGTAATCACAGGTAGCACAGTTGCATCACACAGTTTGGAATACGCGTCGTAGGGGAGACCACCCAGGGCTTTACTCTTAGTAATGATAATACCCAGGGATCTACTCGCTGTGAAACTGCTTTTGCCGCCGTGTTAAAATCCCGGAATTCATCAATTAAAAGTCCGAGATAATTGTATGATGAAACTGTCCTTCGGGGGTCGTCACCGCAGTAAAAAATACAA